CTGAATGAACTGCCACCAAACCTCCCCCCAACTCAGATCTCTCCTCTCCTCTGTCCCCTGATCTAAACCTGCCTCTGCCTGCAAGGCCTTCCCTGCCCTCATTTCTTCCTGGTCTTTCCACTCCCGCTTTCCCATGGTCCTTAGTTCAGAATTCCACATTTCTGTGTTTTTGCTGAATTTTCCACTCCAGATGGGTAGCGACTGCAGACATAGTGTCCACACCAAAGCTAACTGTCCAGAGGGAGCTCTGGTTCCCAGACCCCAGGGGCACCTACTCCTGCAGGCTCTCGGGTCACATGTGTGTGCGCATCAGATGAGGCTTCCTCCTCCACCCTGCCCCCTCCTCCACCCCTGCTGCCACACTGGGGGGATTTCTGACTTCGGACCTCCAGAGCTGCAAACGGAGTGTCCGCTGGGCCTGTCCTTCGCTTTACTTTGGAGCAATTAATTATCCTAACCAAGGGGGAGGCCACTAATCATTTATTCTCCCTGCAAGGATGTGTGGAAAAACTGGGGTGATCAGAAGGTTTCCAGACAAAGAGGAAAGGTCTGTCTTGGGATGCCACGTGCCCTTGCCTCCTGGGTGAGTAATATTCAGTGCTACTTCGGAAACTCGCCTGACATTACTGGTCAAGAAAAAAAAAAAACCTCCTGCAGCTTGACGCATAGAGACGCACCATCACGGGGTGAAGGAACCCAACCCCCCTCTCATGAAAACAGTAAGTAGTACTGAGCCCTTACGTGCTACACACTGTCTTATACGCTTTACATGCATCATTATTTCTGATAATGACCTTTTGAGTTGGTTGCTGTGACACCCCCATTTTACAGATGAGGAGACTGAAGCCCTAGTTATACAGCTAGGACACAGGCGATGCTGTGTTGGTGACCAGGGAGCCCCTTGTGGCATTTTTTCATCAGGAAGCTGGAGGCACCTGCCACTCACACCCTCCACTGAGGTGGGCACAGCTGGTACACTGACTGGTCTCAGGGCCATGGCCTGTGGTCTCCAACTGGGGCAGGGTACAGTCTTGGCTCCTTGGATCTAGACCCAGCATCTAACCAGCTTCCACCTGTTGCAATGAGTGGAAAGTGGATTCCAATCCTTCCGTCTTCCTTTGTTGGAGCCCACAGCACAGTCACCAGCTGAGATATCCACAGGATCCAGGCAGCTGGCACAGGTACAGACAGGCAACTGTGCTCATGTGTCCTAACAGGGGCAGCCACTCCTCAACTAGCTGTTGTCATATTGGAACCCAGTAACCGCAAGTTTTAATGAAAGTAGAACATTTTTTAACACTATACACGAAAATAAACTCAAAATGGATTAAAGACCTAAGTCTAAGACCAGATACTATAAAACTCTTAAGAGAAGACATAGGCAGAACACTCTGACATAAATTACAGCAATATCTTTTTTGAATGTCTCTTAGAGTAATGGAAATAAGAACAAAAATAAACAAATGGGACCTAATTAAACTCAAAAGCTTTTGCATAGCAAAGGAAACCATAAACAAAACGAAAAGACAATCCACAGAACAGGAGGAAATATCTGCAAACTAGGATTACTACCAACAAGGGATTAATTTCCAAAATTTACAAACAGCTTATACAGTTCAGTATCAGAAAAACAAACAGCCCAATCAAAAAAACCTAAGGGCAGAAGACCTAAGTAGTTATTTCTCCAAAGAAGACATACAGATGGCCAACAGGCACATGAAAAGATGCTCAATGTCACTAATTATTAGGAGAATGCAAATCAAAACTACAATGAGATATCACCTCACACCAGTCAGAATGGCCATCATCAAAAAGTCTACAAACAATAAATGCTGGAGAGAGTGTGGAGAAAAGGGAACCTTCCTACACTGTTGGTGGGAATGTAAATTGGTACAGCCACTATGGAGAACAGTATGGAGATTCCTTAAGAAACTAAAAACAGAGCTACCACATGATCCAGCAATCCTACTCCTAGGCATATATCCAGAGAAAAACATGGTTCAAATGGGTACAAGAACTCCAGTGGTTGTCGCAATGCTGTTTACAATAGCCAAGACTGGAAACAACCTAAATGGCCAACAAATGAATAGATAAAGAAAATGTGGTACATATATACAACGAAATATTACTCATCCATAAAAAGGAATGAAATAATGCCATTTGCAGCAACATGCATAGACCTAGAGATTATTATGCTAAATGAAGCAAGCCAGAGAAAGACATATGATATCACTTATATGCAGAATCTAAAAAAATGATATAATTGAACTTATTTACAAAACAGAGACATACAGACTTAGAGAATGAACTTATGATTACCAGAGGGGAAGGGAGCGGGGAGAGATAGACTGAGAGTTTGGGACTGAATGTGCACACTGCTATATTTAAAACAGATAACCAACAAGAACCTAGTGAATAGCATGGGGAACTTTGCTCAATACTCCATAATAACCTAAGTGGGAAAAAAATTTGAAAAAGAATAGACACATGTGTAACTGACTTTGCTGTACACCTAAAAATAACACATTGCTAATCAACTATATTCCAGTATTAAATGAAAATTTAAAAAAGAACATATAAATACAAAAAAAAATCATGGTTTTTACCTGACAAGCCCCCATATTTTAGTGGTGGCAAATGAATTTTAAAAACACCATTTTGTAAAACACCCAAGGGGAGATCTGACCCCCAATTTGCAGCCCCAACTCCAGAACAAAGGAAACAGGACACCCAGACATTATTATACAATTCTGTATTGAGCGACGCATTTATTACAGAACGTGTTCCTTTTTTTCTTTTTAATTTAAACAAAGTTCATCAATCTCTCATAGAAACGGTTTTGTGGGTTTTTGTTCTGTTTACCGTTACAGGACGTGAACCTGACAGTTGTTCACAGGTCTGCTAGCTTTAAGTATAACAGGATTTTCCATGTTCAAAAGACTATATGCTAAGTGCTTAATCAAATCCCGTCACACAAAAGCCAGATTTAGTCCTTTAAGAACTGCAGTCTGCATGTAAGCCTGGATTTCAGTGTCGTGTGGCTTTCAACAGTAAAAAGTGGTGTGTCTCCCACGATTGCCTTAGTTGGGACAGGGTGGTGGTGGCTAAAAGGAGATGTTTTCATTTGTTCCAGATTTGATTACTCTGAAAATTGGTCACTGTTTCCTACTGTCAAAATATAAAAATACCTTCATCTGGATAAAAATGTATACAGTGGAAAACTCTTCAATGCATAGCCTGGGTGTATGGAAAAGGTTTTCCAGCAGGGTCTGTGTTGTTCTTTATGACTGGTGTGGAGACTGCAGCCTAGGCTGGGTGCATGAGAGTTGAGATTTCTGAACGGCCCTCAACTGATCCCTTCTGCTCAATGGAATTTGTTGGCCTGGGTTTCAAGATATTTGTTGCATCCTTGAAATCCCTGTCAGCCATCTCTCCCTCTGGTACTGGGTCGGCAGCATGACGACCACCTTTTCATTGTCATTCTGGATGGAGCCGATATGGCTGCTGTGATATCCCCATTTTACAGATGGGGAGACTGAGGCCCTAGTTACACAGCTAGGACAGGGGTGCTGCTGTGTTGGCGACAGGGTATGGTGGCTGGTCCATCCAGATTGGGAGCTCTCCCCCTAAAAACCAAGATGATAAAGACGCTGGAGGGAGGGCTTCTCTGAGTTGGGGTGCTGAGTCTTTGTTCTCAAGAAGGTCATGTGTTAGAAGACAGGAGGCTGGACTTGGAGACTGGGATGTAGTGGTCATGCTGCAGTGAACTCAAACCTTTGAGCTTCATTCCGCACAAACCTGGAGGTGCAGATGCTTTCCAGAAAGCACCAGGGTCAACTTGAGAAGGAAGATGATGAGAGAGGAGTTGGGGGTCTCTAGTCTGATGAATCTATTTTTTGGTGTGGGGTGCTGAGCTGGGTGCTTGTGGGATGATCAACACTGTTATTTTCTTCAAACACAAGGAGGGGAAAGATGGCAGCCACAGTCCTGCTCTGGAAAGCCAGTAGGGAAGCTTCCCATGCTGTGGCCATGATTCAGGTTGAGGAATCGCATCACTCTGGTTCAAGCACCACCCTCTAACCTCTCGCCCCCGTACCGGGCTTTCCAAAGGATCTGGAACCACGTCTTGCCTTTCAGGTGGACGAGATGGGATATCCACCCGCTGTGGTCCACAGGTTCCTGACGAGAGGGAGCGTAAGCGGCCTGTGTTGTACCATGTTACAGCTCAGAGGGGATGGCTGGCCACAGCCCACGTCTCTACAACACTTACAACAGCACAGGACATTCTGTGTTATCAAGGTTGCAAAACAGACCACCAGAATGAAACACACCCTCACGGCATCGAAGTTTTCCTTTAGAGTCTTTTGGACTTTGTCTTTTCAACATGGTTTCTGGAAGGGCAGTAGCAATGCACTGTGTCTCACAGACAGACATGGAAAAAAATGAACCGTGGTTCAAAGGTTATCTAGATTTTGGTCAGTCTTAGTGTTTTGTGATGGCTTTGAACAATTCTCTCCTTTTAATCTCATCTAGTGGCAAAAAAAAACGACACAACTTCAGTGTATACTTCGCAACAGTTGTGACAGCATCCTGATTTTATAACTCTCTGTTAATATCAAAACAGCATTAGCTGGGAATAAATTCCAAAGGATCCTTTATTAAAATATCTAAAAGTGGTCTATAAATATTTATTTTTCTAAAAGAGTTTGGAGCTTCCAAGTGAAAATGTGGCTCCACTTTGCTTCTGCCTCTGGTAGAGAGGCCAGCAGGGAGAAGATGGTGCTCCCTGGGGCAGGGGGGAGTTGCAAAGAGGTGGCAGGGGCTCCGGCCCTACCTGCTCACTCGTGACTTCACAGAGCTCAGATTACAACAAAAACGGAAAATGGCGGGGCCGTGCTGCTGCTGCCCACGCTGTGATGGCTGCGCCAGCGCCTCCCTTCCAGGCCCCGTCCTGCCTGGGACAGCCGGTGGCCCCCCCGGCGCGCCCCTCGCCTCCACCTTCAGAACTCCCACTCCAGGGCCTCCTCCCGATTGGCAGCCCTCTCCAGCCGGTAGATGATGCTGTTCAGGTTGGCCATCTTCTCATGCCGCCGCTGCAAGTTGGGGTTCACCTTGGTGCTGGGGTGCAAGGCCCCGGTTGTGTCGGCGGTGGGGCTGGCACTCAGCACCTTGGCAGGCAGGGTGCTGGGTGGGGATGGGGAGATGGGGGCTGAGGAGGAAGGGACAGGCGACACGGACATCATAAGGCCTGGCGAGGAGGCGGCCGAGGGCGAGTTCAGCGACACCTCCAGGCTGCAGCGGGAGGACTCTGAGGCGGACTTAAAGCTTAGGGGGTCCGGGTGTAGCCGCTCCCCGCCCTCACTCTCCGGGAGCGGGTGCAGCGAGGGGCAGGCTGGGGTGGTCCCGCCTGGGAGGAGGAGCCCTGGGGCTGCTCTGGGGAGTCCGTCGTCACCCAGAGGGTCAGGATGCACCTCTCGGGGGGAGCCTTGGCCTTTGTCCGGCTCCTTTGAGTCCTGGCTGCCGGCTTGTTCCTCGGCCTCCTCAGTCTGTTCCTGCTTAATCGTCACTGGAGTCTTCTCCTGGGAGGTCAGGTGGGTGACGCTCTCCTCGGGACCCTCCTGAAGCTTTAGTTCCTTCACCGTAGGCTTCTGGTCCTCGGCCTCCGAGTCGGGGCTCTGTGGGGTGGGGTCTGGGTGGGAGTGGCCTGGCAGTAGGATGCCAGGACCCCCACTGGGGTCGAGGTCTGGTTCCTCTTGGGTCCCCTCCACCAACATCTCCCGGCGCATCCGGGACCTGGGGCAGAGACGGCGGTGAGCAAGGGGTTGGAGGGGACAGCTAACCCTGAAGTCAAATCACATGAGTGGCCCTGTGACCCCCACCCACTTCCCTGGGGGCTTACTTTGCATAAGCTTCTTCGCATGCAGCATCCTAGTAAGCCCTCTCAACAACTCCACATGGTGGGCTATCACCATCCCCACTTCAGAGGCGGAAACAAGACTCAGAGATGCTGGGTGATATGCCCCAGTTCCACAGCTAGTAAGTGGCAGAACCAGGACTTGAACTCAGGGCTGTTGGATTCCAAAGGAGCTCACGATCTAGACCTGTGCAGCAGCCACTGGTCACACGTGGCTCTCTCATTGTTAACAGTTGTTATACTGGCTGCATGTTGAAATGGTTGCATTTGTATAAGTGTTCGTTGCTCAGTCGTGCCCGACTCTTTGCGACCCCATGGATTGCAGCCTGCCAGGCTCCTGTGTCTATGAGATTTTCTAGGCAAGGATACTGGAGTGGGTTGCCATTTCCTTCTCCAGGGGATCTTCCCGACCCAGGGATCGAACCTGCGTCTCCTGTACTGCAGGCAGATTCTTTACCAACTGAGCTACAAGGGAAGCCCTGCGTTTGTATATACTGGGCTAAATAAAATATGCATGTGTGCTTAGTCGTGTCCGACTCTTTGCGACCCTAGGGACTGTAGCCTGCTAGGCTCCTCTGTCTGTGGCATTCTCTAGGCAAGAATATTGGAGTGGGTACTATTACATTACTTTCATCTGTCTCTTTTTGTTTAATTTTATTTTTCAATTTTTCTTCAATGTGGCTACTAGAAAATTTTATATTATATATGTGGCTTTTGTTGTATTTCTATTGGACAGTGCTGCTCTAGAGCATTTCTCAAAGTCAAAAGCAGATCTAGTTTGTGGTAATAACTCCCTGCTTCTTTCCTGGAAGGACTTGTTGACATCAGCCCAGAAGGGGAAACGGAGGCCCGGAGAATAACTTGTCTAGGTCACCAAGGCACACAGAGGCAGAGCTGGGCCCAGAACCCGGGTGCACTGAATTCAGTCCAGAACCCGCCCTCTCTTCACTTCAGTGGCCTCCCTGCTGTCAGAGGGAAACTTGGTCTCATTTATTATATTTTAGGGCAGGAAAGGCTAGGATGGGTTTAACTCCATTAATTATTTCCCTAATAACACAAGGTCCAGAGAGGTCAAGTCAGCTGTCCAAGGACTTTGTAAGTATCTTCAATGCTGTATCCCTCTTTAGTTGATGACATCATATATTATTATTTAATAATAATAAAGTACATGTTACTGATATAAAATAAATTTATAAATTTCAGTGATAAACATCATGATTAGTGCTTATCACATATCAGATACTGGACCAAGCACTTTTTGCAGATTATTTATTTTTCATAATGACCTTATGAGGGGCAGACTAGTCTCATGCCCACCAACAAAGATGACAAGGCTCAGAGGGGCACAGGACTACCACGGTCACATAGCCGCAAGCAGCACAGTTGGGCTCTGAACCCAGCTGCCCGACTACACTCTCCTGCCTCTCTGCCCAGGTCGGGGATGGGGCTCCATCCCAGGATCCTGAGCCTGGAGGGACGAACATCGGTGATCTGGCTCATTTTCACCTCTCAGTTCCTAGTCCCTCCACAAAGGTGGCCTTGCCCACCTCTCAGGAGACTCTGTCTTCTCCTTCCGTTCCCTCTAGAGGGAAGAAATGGTGGGACCAGGGGAGTGCTAGGGTGTTTTGGAATAGGTCAATTGCCTGAAGCTTTATCATTAGAACTTCCAAACTGTGGATCAAATATAAATATCTGGCTAATATTCATTTACAACATAGTAAAAATTAGTCCTTTTCTTCAATTCTTGACTCCCAAATCTATAGCAGGTCCTTCCCAGTAATTTTTTCTCAAACCATCCTATTGTTCACTTTTCCCAGAGCTCACTGAAATGTAAATGATACATTAATATAAGAATTCATTTAATAGTCACCATCCCTGCTGGTCTGTGAGAGATGCTAAGGACTTTGCCTCATTCTCTTTGGTACTTGGGACAGAGTAGATGCTCAATAAACACTTACTAAATGAAGCAATGTATTCTTCTATAATTATAGCTCTTTGAGAGTAGTTTTTTGGGGGAGTGAAATTCTACTTCTTTAAAGTCCAGCTGAAATGCCACCTCTAAAAAATTTTCCCTAGGTAGAATTCCCTTTTCCCTTAGTTCCTTATTCCCTCTTGTTTTCACAGCATTTATTAGCTTGTCATGAAATTATCTGGTTTGTGATTTTAAACTCTCTAAGCACAGGGATGATGGCTTTGAACCCCTGTATCTCCCAACCCTGGCTCACTGCATATACATGGCAAATATTAACTGAAATGAATATGCTGGATTATAATGGAGGGATATGTTCCTGTGGAAAACAAGAGGGGAGAGAATGCCTGGAAGGGAAGGAGGGTGTTAGGCTTTAAGGACCTGTATCATCTGCCGTTTGGCAGGTTCTGGGTCTAAGCAAGATATAAGCAGTATTTTACATTGTGTTTATGCCTGTAATTTTTAATTTGATTCTCAATTCACTGTTGGGGGGTAAATTTTAAGCTCCTTATCTGTAAAATAGGAATGAGACTCAGAAAGATACAGTGATTTGCCCAATAACACACAGCCAAGGTGGGATTTGAACTCGGGTCTGTGTGATGCCCATGCCTGGGCTGTGGAGAGAGATTTCAGGTGTTCCATCTTTCCAGGCTCCTCCCTTCTCTTCTCTTAGGGATCAAGAGACTCTCCTCTCTGGCACCACAGGGACATCAGAGACATTTCTTGCTCAGGAGGCTTGGTGGGGAGCGCCTCAGAGGGATGGTCCTTGAAATCGCATCAGGCCTTGTCTTCGGGGTTCTCAGGAAGCCCTCCTGCGGTCTGCTTGGGAACGGTGCACCCAGTCCGTGCCCCGAGGCAGCCCAGTGCCCTGCAGGTCAGCCACTCCGGCGATGAGGGACTGGTGAGTGGGAGGAGGCACCGCTTCCGTTAGGAATCACCCACTCAGAGGGGCTGCCACAAGGGTTTGCTTCGACCTCAGGAGTGGGAAAGGCCAGGCGCCCCAAATCAGTGCACTGACGCAAGGCTCAGTGGGTAGTTAGGGAACCTCGGGCCTGTGCCCCAAACACCACCCCCGTCCCTTGTAGAGGCAGACGCGGAGCAAGCTGGTGAATCCATAACAACGGTAGCGACAACAGTGACGTCAACGCCTACCACCTCCTATGTGCCAGGTTATTTTCTGTAAGTATGTTAACCGCATCAAATCCTCAAGGCAACTCTATGAAGTAGATCCCATTATAATTCTCATTTTATGGGTTGGAAGACTGAGGCTCTGGGAGGTGAAGTCACTTGCCTAGGCCACACAAGATGAACACTGTCGAGCTGGGACTTACATCCGGGTTTGCCTACGTTATAAAGCTAAACACCCAGCAACATGGCCACCTCGTTTCCCAAAGGCCATGATGGGTTCCCTCCAGGCCCTGTATGAGGAAGTGGGGGGCGCCGGCTGAGACCCCTGCCCACCGTCCCAGGGGCCACCAGGCGCCCTGCCCCCCATCCCTACCTGTAGTTGTGGAACCAGTTGATGACGGTGTTGGTCTTGAGGTTGAGCTGGAAGGAGAGGAGCTCAATGGTCTGCTGGGAGGGGTAGGGCTCCAGCTGGTAGGCCTTCCTCAGCGCCTCCTTCTCTTCGGGGGCCAGCACCACTCGGGGCTTCTTGATCTGCAGGAGGCTCAGGTCTTGGGGCTGCAGGCAGGGGCTGGGGCACTCGGAGCGGGTGGCTGGAGACTCGCTGTCTGAGCCAGCGCTGACGAGGCCGTACCTGCGCTTCAGGTAGGCTGGGGCGGGGGAGGGAGGGAGGGAGGGCTGAGGGGGGGCCGACTAGAGGCTCCCCTGAACCGAGGAGGGGGCTCAAGCTGAACTGAGCACCAGCCAGCCGTCCTCAGGGCCCTCTGTGCCCCAAACGTGGGGACCCCGGCCCAGTCTCAGCCTTTTCTCCTTCCACGTCCTCCTCGTGAGACGTGAGACGCTCACCTGCCCACACCTGGTCATTAACACGCTAATTGTTAACATGTGTGGAGGGCTGCCCTCACAGACAGAAGTACTCAAAAAAGGGGGTTCTGCAGCATTCTTGATTGTCAGAAGTGTCCCTGAATTTACCAGTTTTTTGGAGGGCAGGGGGAAGACATTAGTTTTAAGATTTTTCTCTCCTGTTTTCACAGCTTTCTCTGGAGCCGTCTTTGGAGTCTGTGGGTTTGGTGCGGAGGTGGTACAGATGCAGAAAGTGGTGCAGAGTCTTTCGCCCTTGGCCCCTGCCAGGCTCCAGGACGTTAATTTTAAATGAACATAGTAATTGCATGATGCATCTCAGCCTCAAATCATCAAAATGTGTGTGCATTTGGGGGGAAGCCCACCCCAGAATGGAGGAAGTAAGGTACTGGGTCCCATTTAATCCTCACACCAATGCCCTGAGGTAGATGCTATGACTCTTACTTTCAGATGAAGTGGAATGAGGCACAAAGGGAAGTAACTTGCCCAGATCACACAGCCGGCAAGCGGCAGAACAAGTTCTCAACTGCACCGCTGTCTGATGCCCACAGCCAGACTTGGCCCTGCCCCCTGTGCCCTTGTCATGACTTGGGGCCCAGCTGACAACTTTCCAACTCCTCAAATCTTATCTCCCAACTGGATCTTGAGCTTTCTTAGACCTGGGAATCCCTTACGCACAAAGCATGAGACTGGCTGGGCCACAAAGCAGGTGCTCACTGCCAGTTCAATTTTGCAGGGATATAAAACACTGTCAGACAGTGTAAGAACCTGCAATTTCTTGTCCGGTCCTGTAAGGGGGGAGTTATCATTTGCTGGGTCAATTTTGTGCTTTGTTGTGTAGAATCCAGGTGATGGGCAAAGGGGGTAATATAATAGGACTCTGATGCAGAGGATGGAGAGATCAGAGAGAGGGGGGCAGGGTTTGGGGAATATGCAGGAGACCCTGGAATGGCTATGGGTTTGTGGAAGGATGCTGAGAGAGACGGCGTATGGGAATTTTCAGGGGAAAAGCATTAAACATTTTAATGGCTTGCAATTATGTTCCATGGAATGGCTATTTCTTGCAACCTACACTAGGGTAAGACTGGACCATTGGGACCCTGGGTTTATTGTTTACGGTTCCAATAGGAAAACTTGAGGCCAGATCCAGAGTTCCCAGGGCTTACCTTTCTTCTCCAGCTTCTTCATGTCTCTCAGCTTCTCCACGTTGTGGGGGTCGTTGAGCCACAGCTGCATGCGCACAAAGGGCTCCCGGCCCTTCAGGCTCAGCTTGTGCCAGGGTTTGGGGCGGGAGAGCAGGTCAGACACGGAGCCCTGGGTCAGCCCTAGGATGCTCTCCCCGAAGAGCCGCTGCCCTGGGGACAGGGGAGGAGGGGGACGACCTGTTACCCCAGGCTGGGCACAGGTGCTCCCGGGAGAGACATGGGACAGGCAGAAACCAGGGAATGTCTCCACTAACTCAGCAGGGAGGACCAGACACATCGGGGGGCCCACGCCTGTGTGCATCTGGGGAACTTTCTGCAAAACAGGAGGTGGGGGCAGGCAGATAGCTACCAAACAAAAATGCTGTCATGATTTAGATGTTATTCACTCCTAGGGGATCCCTGACATTGTCTGCAAACTTCATGTACACAAATAAGTATCACCTTGTCAGAGAGTAATTTGATAGATTCTATCAAAATTTCAATGTGCAAACCCTCTGATCCAGCAATTCCACTGCCTGGGATTTCTCCTCCAGCTGTACTTGCCCAAGGGCACAAAGACGCATATGGATGTGGTTTCAGAAGCAGCAAGAAATTGGGAACAAGCAAAATGCTCATCAGCTGCATAAAAAATGTGGGGCATTCATGGCCTTAAAAATCTTGCAACAGTGACAAAGACTGCAGGTGGGCTATTCATTCTAAGGCGGAAGAAGGTCCGCAGAACAGTGTTAGTTTTTAAAAAGCAAGTGGAAGGACAGCCTGTATGTAATTTCATCTATCTAGAAAGAAGAAGAGAAGAAACTAGGCAAACATACAATTTTGTATGTGTTCAGAAAATATCAAAGATACAGAAAAACTGTGGCGTATGACTGGGAGGTTAGGGGAGATTTTATTTGTTTAAATTTTAACTTTTTTTTTTCTGTATTGTTTGGCATTTTCAAATAGTGATACCTTATTTTTATTATAGAAATTGTAGTGAAAAGTTGGGGTTTGTGTGAATCTGGGAGGGGGACTTGACTCCCATCTGAGACGTGGAGGAGTTTGTGATTCAAAAAATTAAAGAATCCATATTTCTCCCTTGGACCCCAGCGTTGGATGAGGACTGAGTTAGAATCTTACTGGGATTCTCTAAGTCCTCCTGGAAGGAAGTTTTGAAAGCTGTGGGCTAAGAACTTTAGGAGGACAGCATACTGACCTCCCTGCTGTCCACTCTAGAGACCCAGTTCAGAGTCAGATGCCTCCCAGGGGGCCCTGGGTGGCCCAGGGCTGAGCAGCACCTGCAGAAGGGACCCCAGTGCCTGGGATCTCACCATGGCTCTTTCCTTAAGGCAAGGGGGAGCCGAGCAGGGCAAGAGGCAGCATCCCTGACTCCCGGTACCCTGTACCTAGGTTGTTGTCTGTGAGGACCTCTTTGACCCTCTTGGTGATGGAGTACGTGTCCAGCTCGGGGGACATGGCCACAATCTCCTGGATGCCCCCTGTGGTCTGGCTGCCCGAGTAAATCTTCCCACTCAGTGATGAGCTGGAGCGTCCCTCTGGCTGCTGGTTCTCCTTGCTGCTCTCCAGTGTCAGACTCAGGGGCTCCTGGGAGCTCTTCTCCGGTGGCTCCGTGGGACTAGGGGGTGGGGATGGCGAGGACCTTGGTTCAGTGGGACTGACTGTGGGCCGCAGAGAGACAGAGAAGGCAGTTACTGCAATCTGGCATAGACATGCATGGTTTGGGCAGGCTTGTTTGTTATAGTCTGTTGGCAACAACCCATTTTGCAACTATCACAGTAAAATCTCAGGCAGGGACCATCCTGGCTATGAAAACCAGTAGATGAAAGTTGGAGGAGGAAAAAGATATCCACATAGTCCCAAAGTATCTCCCCACAAGATACTTATTTATTTTTTTTCCCCACAAGATACTTATTAAGTACAAAGGGAAAAATAGCAACTTTACAAGTACAGCTGTCTGCCAACACCACCTTAATCTAGTGATTGAAGTTAGCACCTCCAATCACAGGACAAATCAACAGCTGGTTACTCCTGATATGATGGACTGAGAAGGACAGAGCAACATTTCTGGGATATTCCTGCCCGAAGTGCACAGCTTGAATCTAACCACGAGGAAACATCAGACAAAGTTGAACTGAGCATCAGTCTATAACATAACTGGCTTCCAGTTTTCAAAAACGTCAAAACTAAAAACCTTTAGAGAGAGGCAGAACTGTCCAAATTGAAAGAGACTAAAGAGACATGATGACTAAATACAAGTGATCCTGAATTTGACCTGGACAGGGAAAGATAAAATTATATAAAGGTGATTATTGGGACAACTGAAGAAACTTGGAATATAAATGGTGGGTTACATAGCAGTATAGTATTATTGTAAAATTTCTCATTCTTGGTAAATACTTTTGAAATATTTAGGGGTAAAGGGACATGATGTCTTCAATTAACCTCTTAAATGATTGAGAGAAAGAACATAAATATGGCAAAATTACTAACTGGTGAATCGGTATGTAGGATATAGGAAGTTGGTTGGTCTACTGCTTTAACTCTTTGGTAAATAAGAAATTACATCAAAATTAAAAGTTAAGAGGAAAAAAAAGGACTTGGCAATGACCGATAAGTCCAACTGCCAGAGTTAGGTAAGTAAAATACAGTGAGTTCCCAGAGCAATCAATAATAATGTAATGAAAAGATGCATATAAAACGAATAAGTTCTGGGATCTGATACACAGCATGGTGACTGTAGTTAATGCTATTATATATATATATACTTGACAGTTTCTGTGAGAATACAGCTTTAATAGTCTCACTATAATAAAATGGTAATTACCCTAAAACCACATTTTTCATAAGACATTTTTGCAAATACATATTAGAAAACCACTTAGAAGGTATCTTGGGTAGGATGACTTTATCGAACCTCAGTTCCTGAACCCGTTAAATGGGGCCAATAATACAAGCAGTGCTATACTTGCAACTACCCTGCTTAGGGCCATAGAGAGGACTCCATGAGATAATGGGGGTCACCTCCTGAGGAATCAAGAGTCACCCACTCACTGGATTTTCCAGCGTGGGCTGAGCAGCTGGACAGTCCAGGGAGGGCAGGGGACATGCCTGGGGACGTGTCCCTAATGGGGAGGTGGGTGTTTAGAAATCCTGTGCTGGTCCACAGGGCCCCTTCCAGTGAAGGGGATTCTTCCTCAATGTATTTAACTGGTGCCTGATGGAAATTTGTTAATATAAACCCAAAGGCTCGGTGCGAAGAAGGATTCTGAGGCTGCAAGCTGGACTGCTGGCAAAAAGAGATTGATCAGCAGACATCTGACTCTGGATGGTAAGGTGGGCACCACCCCCAGCCCGCCACTCCCGCTCAGTCTGGGCACTCTGGCGCCACCTAGAGGTCAGTCTGGCTGAGGGAAGGATGAAAGGGGAGCAGGGACACCAACTAGGAGCAACCAGGACTCTTTCCGGGCAGCAGTGGGGTGGGGCAGGGGAACGGAGACCTGGGCAGTGAAGCCACTGCACAGACTGGAAGAGTGAGGCCTCTCGGCGGTTCGGGGCCCCATCTGCACTCACCCTGGGAGGCGCTGGGCTGCTGGCCCACGGCCTGGCCAAGCTGGTCTGAGAGCCACAGCTGCATGCGGATAAAGGGCTCTCGCCCCTTCTGTGTCAGCTTGCTCCACGGCTTCGGCCGGGACAGCATGTCGCTCACACTGCCCTGTGACAGGCCCAGCACCTGGGGATGGGCAGGGCGGGAAGGCTGGGTCAGCAGGTCCTGGCCACCCCCTCCACCTCTCCTCCCCAGACCCTCAGGCCCACTGCTCACTCCTGTTCCGAGAGGAGAGGGCTGCCTTCACGTGATCTGTTTGTGTGCCTGTGCTGCGCCCTCCACCTGCAGTGCCCTTCCAGACTGCCTTACAGGCCACGGAATTCTCCAGGCCAGAACACTGGAGTGGGTGGCCTTTCCCTTCTCCAGGGGGGTCTTCCCAACCCAGGGATAGAACCCAGGTCTTCTGCATTGCAGGCGGATTATTTACCAGCTGAGCCACAAGGGAAGCCCATCTAAAAATCCTACTTGGACTCTTAAGACCCCTTAAGCGCCTCCTCCTCCAGGAAGCCTTCCTATGTTGCGTTTCCCATTCCTCCAAGCTGGGCTGAGCCTTAACACTTAAGTGGAATGGACCATGGGAAGGTTGAAGGTTACTGGAGGAGGGGGGTAGGTGGCTATCACCTAACCAGATGGAAGCTTTTCACAGCTTTAAAAACCACAGAACTGAACACCAGCCTTGTCCGTGGCTCCCCTTTCCCCACTGCCCAGGGACAGGAAAAAGGGCTTTTGGGGTCACTCAGATCTGGGTCTGAATCCTGCTTCTGCTCAGTTCTTGCTCACATACACACACTCACACACACCCTTCTTTCCAGGCCATGGACACGGCATAGGTGTCCTCCCTACCCGGGTCCCGTGGCTCCAGGCCCCCTGAGCCTCCAGGGGCAAACCCCACCATCTTCACCTTCTCCCCGAAGATCCTCTGGCAGATTCCATTCTTGGCCAGCTTCTCCTTGACCTGGCGCGTCAGCTCCAGGGTGTCCACCTCGCGGTACATGTAGAGCTCGTATTGCTCGGGGGTCAGGGGCGGCACGGTGGGCTTCAGCGTGCGGGGCACGTAGGCTGGGTAGTAGGCCAGCCGCCCACCACCGCCCCCTTCAGGGCCGCCCCCCTCAGCCTTGAGCTCGCCCACTCTGAGGGGCTCGTCCTCGCTCCCGGCCGCTTCGTCCTCGGGGACAGCAGGGGCCTCGTCCCCGCGAGGCCAGGCCCGCCCATTGGGCTGGCCGGAGTAGCTGGAGGAGGAGGAGAGTGAGGGCGAGACAGAGGCGTAGGGGCGGCTGAGCAGGCCGCGGTCCGAGGCCCAGTGGTGGTCGAAATAGCCGGCGTCGCCGATCTCCGACTTGACCTTCCGGATGATGCTCTGCACAAAGGCGGCGGGGGACAGGACCGTGAGGGAGGTCTGCGTGCCGCTGCTGCTGGTTCCCCCGCTGCCGACACCGCTGTCCTCCTGTTTGACGAGCGTCGGGGCCCCGTTCTGGCTCACGGCCGCCAGTGAGGGCCGCTCTGGGGGCGAGGGAGGCACCGAGCGGCCCCGGGCGCCGGCCTCCATCTCCAGCAGGGCCTGCTGCTGCGCTTGCATCTCGCGGCGTGCTTGCTCCAGAATGTTCTTGATGGCGTCTTCCGAGGTGGTACTGGCAGGGGCTGTGCCGTTGGTGATGCTCAGTGGGGCTGCTGAGTTCTTGGGCTCTCCTGTAGGAAAGGGGACAGGGAGGCTGGAGGCCCGTGGACAGGGCATGGCTTGAAGGACAAAGACAGCACAGTATTTATACCAGTGAAGTGTTGGGGGCAACCTCTGCATCTGGGGATAAAAACCAGGTGGACATTGAGATTTTAGCTTATGTGGAAAAAGCGCTGATGGGGATACTGTAACGTTAGAAGAAGACTTGCTTTTACACATGCTGTGATCCACCTTTGCGAATAAAAGCAAGTCCCAGAAGGGGACACACAGTATAACCTGCTTTCTATTGAGCGGCAAAGCAAGCCAAATAAACAATGCATTACTTAGTGAAAATTCTACAAGTAGTAAACACAAAGGAACAGCAGGACAGTGCTTCCCTCTGCTCTCTTAGTGGCCTTTCCCGCACTGGGGTCTCTCCCCAACCCTGGACCAACCTAGATCAGCACAGCCCTTCCTTTACCATCTCGTTGTACAGTCTACACCCTGGTGGATCCTCATAGCTCCATTAAAAATAATTTCTATTGCTTTTTCCACTTAAAAAGCAATAGAGCAATGGAATACTATTCAGTCGTAAAAGGAATGAAGCACTGATACCATGTGGAGGAATCTTGAAAACATTACGTGACGTGAAAGAAGCCAGACACAAAAGGCCACCTGTTGTACAGTTTCCACTCATATGAAATATCCAGAACAAGGAGAGCCACAGACACAGAAAACAGACTGGTGGCTTCCTGGGGCTCAGGGGAGGTGAGGCGTGAGGAGTGACTGCTAATGGGTGCAGTGTTTCCTTTTGGGGGTGATGAAGATGTTTTGGAACTAGACAGAAACAGTGGCTGCAAAACATTGTGAAGGCACTAAATGCCACTGAATTATTCACTCTAAAATGGTTAAATTTATGTCATATGAATTTTACCTCAAAAAAAAAAAAAGGCAGACATCCCTGGTGGTGAAGTGGTTAAGAATCCGCCTGCCAATGTGGGGGACACAGGTTTGAACCGTGGCCTGGGAAGACTCCACATGCTGTGGAGTTAAGCCCGGGTGCCACCACTACTGAGCCCGAGCACCCTCGAGCCTGTGCTCCGCAACAACAGAAGCCACTGCAACGAAGAGTAGCCTCTGCTCACCACAACTAGAGAAAGCCCACGCAAAGCAACAGAGGCCGAGCATGGCCCAAGAAATCCCCCTCTGTTAAAAAAAAGTCATACATGTCTATCTGGAGAGCTAACAATGCACAAAAACTTAATATGAAAATGAAAATCCCCTCTGATCTTTCCCCCAGTGGTAATCACATGAAAATTTCCCAGGTTTTCCCTTCCAATCTGGTTTCTAACTACATGCACGGGATGGTCACACTTGATATGTGGCAGTGTGGCCTGGCTTGCTCCCACTTAGTATCAACATGAGTGTTTTTTCCTACGATTTGAAGTTCTTCTAGCTTTAATGGCTGCATGTGCCACTGAAGAAATACTCTCTGCTTTAGTTACCCAGCCCCCCAATGCTGGACACTTAGGTTATTTTTACTTTGTCACTGTTGGAAACAACAATAAAGAGATAGCTTGTATATAAATTTTTGTTCCCATTCTGAATATTTCCTTTGTTCCCCAAAAGCAGAGCTCCCACATTAGTGTCAGCCACATTCACTTCCTTCCCAGAGGGATGCTAACTGCTCTCTGCTTAGTCTTTACTTCGATGAGGGACATCGGGGGATAACCTGGCACTCTTCCTCTTGCTGAACTTTTCACAGACCCTAAATGGAAACCTCCTGACTGGGCCACTCGAGCAAAGGTTTCCCTCTGTGATATCTTTTTAATTTCTTTGCTACCTTGATTCAGACCTCCCAGTGGGAGAGCACTGCACAAGGAGTCAGGAGACCCGTGTTCTCCTTTGGTCTCTGAATAACTGTGAGTATGTCCCCCTCTCTTTGGCCTCTGTCCTGTTTAGTGGGAGAGTTAGATGAGACTGTTTCTCATGGTTCTTTTCACCCCAATACTGTGTCTCATCTACATGTGTAACCTCTGTCCAGCACACAGTAGGCATTTAACGTTTACTGAATGACTGCCTCTTTTGCTACCAGAATGGACCAAGAAGACATAACTAAGTGTGTACATAGTCGGGGCTCAGCAGATTATTTGGGTGTGGCAGTGCAGGATCCCAGCAGGGTTAACCTCTCTCTCTCCTTTCCAGGGACCAGGAAAAGGGGGGTCCGTGGGAAATTTGCGGCTTCCAGCAGCAGACTTGGGAATAGGGACACTTGCCCCAAGCCACCACCAGGGGGGAGCAGATACTGTAAAATGGAGTGGGAGTGCTGAAGCCAGCATCCAGTTCTGAGTCAGCTGTGGTCTACACTGGCTGTACTACATATGCTGGATGCAGGGATGTGATAGGTGAGAGGTCCCTGGTGGCAATCATCCCCCACTGGTGGGAGGGACAGCCACATCAGCAGAGTCATTTGTAACATGAATAAATGCAACAATGGAGACATAATGTAATGAAGACAGCTAACTTTCCAGGGGCACCTTCTACATACTGGACCCCAGCTGAGTGCTTGCCATGCCTGATGTCATTTGATCCTCACACAACCTTGAGAAGGGAATACAAATACTGCACCTATTTTAAAGATGAGAAAATGAAGGCACAGAGAGCTAAGTAATTTGCCAGAGAGCACACTGTTTAATATATAGAGGAGGCAAAATTTGCAGCCAAGTCACTCAGGCTCCATTGCACCAAACAGTACGGGTCATTATGGGGGAATCTGAGGAGGGGTGGATTCCAATCCACCAGGATGGATTTGGGGGCTTCCTGCAGGAGATGACTTCTGAGTGGGGTTGTAAAGTAGGAGCAGAAGCCGGACAGAAAGGTGGCTGGGGTGAAGATGGCATTAGGGGCACAGAGAATAGGAATGAGGATTGTCATGAGCATAAACAGTTCATGTGAGAGGCATGGAGGGGTCAAGAGGAGTCTGAAGACTATACTAGGGCTTGTAGCCCTTGTTGGGGAATTAGGAGTTTATCCTGAGGGTAATGGGGATCCATGGAAGGATTTCAAATAGTAACATGAACATGTAGTCCTCTTGAAAGATCCCTGTGGCCTCTAGGTGGAGAATGAGCTGGAGTAGGGCCTAGGCCAGTAAAGAAAGACCAGCAAGACTGGTCATTGGCAAGACCAGTAAAGAGGCTACTGCAATAGTCCTAGCAAGTGATGATGATAGCTCACTAGGCTGGTGGCAGGTGGGATGGGGAATGGATGAGCTTGAAAAAACTTAAGTAACCCCTGGACGGGGTTAGGGTCAGGGTTGTTGAAACTTCCAGGAGTGAATTAACTCATCTAAGAAGAATAAGAAAAAAAAAAAGAAGAAGAAGAATAAGAACTCCACTGGGGTGGAGTTCTGGGGGAACCCCATGAGGGGCTGGTGGAGAAAGCACACTGTGATAGGCTAAATAATGGTCCCCAAAGATATCCATATCCCAACCTCTGGGACCTGTGAATATGTTACCTCACATGGCAAAAGGGAATTTTTAGATATGATCAGGATTAAGAATTTTGAGATGAGGATATTATCCTGGGTTATCTGGGTGAGCCCCATGAAGTCACAATGGTGTTTATAAGAGGGAGGCAGAAAGATGATAGAGACAGAGACAGAGAGAGACTAAAGATGCTATGATGTTAAGAGGAAAGAAGGGCCCAGGAGGCAGAAAATCTGGATGCCCTCTAGAAGCTGAAAGAGACAAGGGAACGGATTTTCCCCAGGAGCCTCCACAAAGAACGTAGCCGACACCGTGACTATAGCCTAGTGAGGCTGATTTTGGATTTCCGACTTCCAGAACTGTAAGATGATCAATCTGTGGTGTTTTTAATCACTGAGTTCTGAGTGGGCACCCACTGGGAAAGTGGAGGAGGTACGGTCGGAGAGGTGGGAGGAAGTCGGGGGAACAGCATCTCATTGGGAACCGGAAAGTACAAGTGCAGGGAGGGTGAGGTGGATGGTCAGATGGTGAGGCTCAGGTCTAGGTGCCTGACAAGCGCCTGGTGAAAACCGATCACAGGGCCTCCTGAAGCAACCCAGAGCCGCACTCCCAACAGAACTCGGCAGTGATGTCACCTGTGCGATGTGGCTACTGTGGCTAAAGAACTGAGATTTCAATTTCACTTAACTGTAGTTAAATGGCTTATAGCTCCCATACTGGATAATGGATCTGGTACTTTCCAGGCCTAGACCTCACTTGGCTGCAGGTTGTGAAAAAGGAAAAGAGGTTCAAACCTGCTTGGAATCCCCTCTGGGGTGGACACAGCCTCGCCTCCTGCTCAGGATAGGCCCTGGAGGCCTCGGGCCTCACCTGCTGTGGCCACACTCACCCCCTTTCTGTGACTCGATCTCCTTCTTGGCCTGCTCTAGGATGCTCTTGATGGCGTCATCTGAGCCGGTCTCTGGCGTGCGGATTCTTGGGGTGATACTGCCTGGGGGAGGAAAGGAGGCGTCTGTTGTGGGGACTGCATGTTGGGGGTCAGTCCCTGGTGCTGGGCAGGGTGACAGGCTGGTGTCTTCCTCCCAGGGCTGGGAGAGCGAGAGCCAGACTGTGAGTCTGTGTGACAAACTGTGGACCCCCAAGAGATTTCAGCTTGAAATAACAACAAAACCCAATGAGGGCAGCCACCATCAAAGTGAACAGTTATCTTGGGACTTCCTTGGTGGTCCAATGGCTAAGACTCTGTGCTTCCACTGCAGAGGATGCAGATTCGATCACTGGTGGGGGAACTAACATCCCACATGCCCCAAGGTGTGGCCAAAAAAAAAAGGAAAAGAAAAGAAAATAGCTAGCAATTCTCAAGGAGTTATTACATGCTTTATGCTCATTTAACTCTCTTTAGGAGGCTGACAGATGGGGAATAGAGGCATAGAGCAGCTAAAGAGAGCTGCCTGAGGTCACCAAGCAGATGATGGCAGAGCTGGGACACAAACTCAGGTGTCTGTGGGGTCAAAACCTGGGCCCTTCACATGGATTACTCTAAAAACTGAGTCTGTCATGTTTGGGGGGGTCACCCCGGTCACCTTATGGATGGGTTAACTGAGGCTTGGAAGTGCTTACGGGGTACATGCTGAGGGAGCCCCAGGGGCCCGGCCTCTGCCCACAATTATCAGCCTGAACTGCACCACAGCACCAGCCGGATGCATGGGACAGGGAGCTCCAGGAGGGAGGGATTGAGGATGGTTTCCCTGATTTTACACAGGCAGGAAACTGAGGCACGGAGAGGCAAAGTCATTTGCCCCAGGTCACACAGCTGGGAGGGGGCAGACTCCGGCTCTGAGCTGCGAGCCGTGTCCTCAGCCCTCAACAGCCCCACGCCCGGGGCTGGCCCGGGGAGACGGCTGAGAACACGGATGGCTGAGACAGGCCCTCGGCCAGCACCCACCTCGCTGCCGCACCTGGATGGTCCTCAGGGCCAGCACGTTCTGCTCGTCCGACAGGAACTGCTTCATCTTGATGAAGGGCTCCTTGCCCTTCACCGTAAGCTTGCGCCAGGGCTTGGGCCGGGCCAGGATCTCGCTGACCGAGCCCTGGGACAGCCCCAGCACGTAGTGGCCGAATACCCGCTGCCCGATGTTGTGTTTGAGCAGCTGCTCCTTCACCTGGAAGGCGATCTCCGCCGTGTCCAGCTGCTCCTCCTCTGCTCCAGCCCCTGCCGTGGCCACGCTGCCCCCGCCCCCCTCTGCTGGCTCAGGACCCCCGGGCGGCTCAGGGCCAGGGGCTGGGGTAGCAGGGGCCGTGGGGGGCTTGGCGCCATAGAAAGCTGGGGGGAACACTAGCAGGCCTCCTGCTTCCCCCTTGAAGGCAGTCGGGGGCATCATGTGCTTGGATAGCAGGGTCTCCCCTGTCAGTCTCTCTGCTGAAGCCAGGCTGGGGAAGGGGGACAGTGAGAAAGTCCGAGGGCCATCGGGGCCCAGGCTGGGGCCCAGCAAGGGCTGCCCTGGGCTGGGGGACAGGGGGTCTTCAGGCCCTGGTGGTGGTGGGAGCTGTGGAGGGGACGGGTAGGACTGCTCCGTGCCCAGAGAGTCCTTGATGGAATCATCCTCCGAAGGGTCCTCCTCTAGAACACCGAGACAGACAGAGGAAAAGAGGAGAGACAGACAGAGGAAGAGAGGAGGGACAGACAGAAAAGACAGGTAAACAGTGATGGGAAGAGAGAGGCAGAGAGATAGGGAGAGAAATAATGACAGACACAGAGAAACAGAGATAGGGAGATAGGTGGAGAGAAATAACATGGGAGAAGGCACAGACAGACAGAGACAGAAAGAGTGAAAGACAAGGCGACAAAGGTTCAGAGAGAGAGGGGGAGGCAGAGAGACAGTGAGAGGCAGAGAGACATACAGAAAGAGATTTGGAAGGAGAGGAAGTGAGAGAGGGCAGGAGGGGTGGGGAGAAGTGCTATAGGCGTCCGACAGCGTGAGGCACCGCCACTGGTGTTTCTGCCACACACGCTCCCCTCGCCCTTCTCTAATCCCCATTCTGCAAGGCCTGGGCCAAAGGCCAGTTCTGGGGTAACCCGCCCACCATCAAGTGCATTAGCCGAGCACCTGTTACGGGCCCAGCACTTTGCCCGGGGAGGACTCATCCCCATCCCGGAGCAGGAAGGCCCACTCCCCAAGTGCTCCCCCGTGCGCCGTGTCTGTGTGTCCCTATCTACCTGCCCAGCACCTACTGGGGCCGGTAACTGCCCATTTCACAGATGCGGAAGTGGAGACAGCGCACACGTGTGGCTGAGGCCACACGGCTGAAAGCTCATGAGGCCACTGTGTGGGGAGAAGGGGCGATCTGGGGAAGGCAGGCCTTTCCCAACAGTCTGCACTGAGGGTTGGTGTGAACACCCTCCTTGACCCCTGTGATCTCTCCCTGCGGCTTGCGAAGGCTGGGGCGTGAGGGAGCCCTCCGGGGACCTTGGGAGGGTCTGAGTGAGCTGGGTGTCTCCATGTGTCCCGCCTTAGGTGATAGTCGCCCACTGGCTTAGCCGTGGATGGCCACCAGCTCAGCCCCAGGCATGCAGCGGGCGCTCAGTCAACGTGCCTGCCTTTTACCCATCATCTTCCTGCCCTTTGTGTTAAAGACAGTGGTCTGAGGACGTGGAGGAGGCCGGAGACCCACGGGCAGCTCCCACCCCAGCCCCTCAGCCCCGAGGGCATCCCACCTCCCCTACCAGGGCTGGCCAAAAGACCGGGCTTTTCCAGAAGGAATTTCTGCGCAGGGAAGAAGGCCTCCTTTGCCAGGAGCAGTGAGTCTTCGGGCTTGGCCATGCCCTGAGGAGACAAGAAGCAGGGCTGAGAGGGCATGGCTGGTGCGGCGCTCTTGGGGGCAGCCTGCCCCGTAGGGACGGTGGTGGGCACCCTCACCTGGGGGAGGCTGCAGGTGTTGGAGGCCAGCTTCATGGCTTTCAGGATGCTGCCAGAGAAAGCGGAGGGAGAGTGTGAGGCCAGTTGGGTCCCCAGGTCGGGGGAGAGGCCTCCTGAGAGGCATAGCACCTGCTCCTCTTCCTGGACAGCACCCACCCCACCCCTGGGTCTCATACAACATGGGACTCAGTGGACAACAGGCCCGAAGCAGCGGCTTGTGAACTGGTCTGCTCCACCTGGAGGGGTGCAGCTTGAGCTGGTCTGATTAAGACATCACTCCCTGCCCCCGCAGGGGCTCAGCTGGTAAAGAATCCGCCTGCAAGGCAGGAGACCCGGGTTCCATCCCTGGGTCGGGAAGATCCCCTGGAGAAGGAGATGGCAACCCACTCTAGTATTCTTGCTTGGAGAATCCCATGGACAGAGGAGCCTGGTGGCCTATATTGTCCATGGGGTTTTGAGGAGTTGGACACAACTGTGCGACTAACTTTCACACCTCCGGTGCTCCACCCCCGCCCTGCAACAGCACCAACAAGGCTGTTTCCCCACAGGCAGCTCCTGATGGCAAAGGACTGGGTCTGATAGCCAGGGTGCCAGCGGACAGGAGACAGGGTACCACAAAACGGGATCTGGTGGGAGGGAGGAAGATGATGAGCTTTGCTGAGGGCCCCTGGCAATCTTCCCAGGCAGCCTCCTGCCAGGGAAGAGGGTCTGGTGGTGTGTGGGGCCCCACCCGACACAATACCTCAGCTCTGTTTTAATTTCCTCATAGTCAGACTGTGCCTGGAGCTTCTCTTCTAGCTTCTAGAAAAACAAACAAAGATGGGGGAGGCTGGCCCACGTCCTTCTGCTGAGGGGACGCCCTCCCCGTCTCCTCCCGCGAGACCTACCTCGATGGCCTCGGACTTGGCGGTGAGCTGCCGCTCCAGGTCTGCGATCTGGTGGGCGGAGGTCTCCTCCAGCTCCTGCAGGGAGCTCTGGAGATGCTGCACATCCTTCAGCAGCCGCAGGATCTCCCGGTCCTTGGAGGCCAGGGCAGCCTCCAGCCGAGGGCCTGAGCACAGCGCGAAGTTCACCTTATCCTGGGCACAAAGAGGGGCTTGGAGGGGCCAGGAGGGGTGGGGCAGGGTGCTCCCCAGAGTGATTCAGTATCCCCCCACCCCAAATCAGGCCCTTCCCACTTCCGAGCCTTTGCTCAGCTGGTCCCACGTGCCTGTATGTCTTTCCCTCTTCTTGAAATGAAATCTGGAGGGAGAAGGACTGCTCGGAGAAAGTGCTTTGGCGGAAGGTATGTCTAAGCAGTAATGAAGTTCAAGAACAAGTTAGTGATTTGGAAGACTGCTTGGCAGCATCTACTAAACATCCATCAAGGTGTTGCATTCAGTATGTCAGCAAATCTGGAAGACCCAGCAGTGGCCACAGGACTGGAAAATGTCAATCCTCATCCCAATTCCCAAGAAGGGTAGCAATAAAGAATGTGCTAACCATTGGACAACTTCACTCATCTCCCATGCTAGTAAGGTCATGCTTAAAATCTTGCATGCTAGGATTCAACAGTATGCGAACCAAGAACTTCCAGATGTCCAAGCTGGGTTTCAAAAAGGAAGAGGAACCAGAGATCAAATTGCCAACATACACTGGATCACAGAGAAAGCTAGGGAGTTCCAGAGAAACATCCACCTCTGTTTCATCAACTATGCCAAAACCGTTCACTGTGTGGCTCAATAAAATATGGAAAGCTCTTAGAGAGATGGGAACACCAGATTACCTTACCTGTCTCCTGAGAAACCTGTATGCGGGTCAAGAAGGAACAGTTAGAACCCTGTATGGAAAAACTGATTGGTTCAAGATCAAAAGGAGTACGACAGGGCTATCTGCTGTCACTCTGTTTGTTTAATCTATATGCTGAGCAGATCATGAGAAATGTCAGGCTGGATGAGTTACAAGCTGGAATCCAGATAGATGGGAGAAACATCAACAACCTCATATATGTAGATGATATCACTATAATGACAGAAAGCAAAGAGGAATTAAGCCTCTTGTTTAGGGTGAAGGAGGAGAGTGAAAGAGCCAGCTTAAAACTGAATATTAAAAAAACTAAGATCATGGTATCTGACCCCATTACTTCATGGCAAATAGAAGGGGAAAGGGTGCAAGTAGTGACAGATTTCCTCTTCTTGGGCTCTAAAATCACTGCGGATGGTGACTGCAGCCATGCAATCAGAAGACGTTTGCTTCTTGGCAGGAAAGCTATGACAAACCTAGATAGTGTGTTGAAAAGCAGAGACATCACTCTGCCGACAAAGGTCCGTATAGTGAAGGCTATGGTCCTCCCAGTGGGCATGCACAGTTGTGAGAGCTGGACCGTAAAGAAGGCCGAGCACCGAAGAATTGATGCCTTTGAACTGTGGTGCTGGAGAAGACTCCTGAGAGTTCCCTGGACTGCAAGGAGATCAAACCAGTCAATCCTAAGGGAAATCAACCCTGAATATTCGTTGGAAGGACTGATGCTGAAGCTGAAACTCCAGTATTTTGGTCATCTGAAGCAAACAGCTGACTCACTGACAAAGTCCCTGATGCTGGGGAAGATTGAGGACAGAAGGAGAAGAGGGCATCAGAGGATGAGATAGCTGGATGGCATCACTGAAGCAATGGACATGAACTTGGGCAAACTTCGGGAGACGGTAAGGGACAGGGAGGCCTGGAGTGCTGCAACACTAGGAGTCGCAAAGAGTCAGACACAACTGGGTGACTGAACAACAAATCTACTAAAGGTGAACATATGGTGCCCTAAGTCTTGGTGCTTTTAGTCATTGGAATATATGCAGGAGAAACGCAGGGACTTGTGCACCAAGACAGAGACACGCGCGTTCACAGCAGCCCTCTCTGTAAGAGCACCAAACAGGAAACCCCCAGAAAGTGGATGGACAGGTTGTGGAATACTCAGACAATGGAGTACTCGACAGCGACAGAAATGAATAATCCACACTACTGGTAACACAGCATGGATAGCTCTCCCAGCTATGACATGGACCCAGAGAAGCCGGATACCGAAGTGTGTGTGTGATTCTATTAAGATCAGGTATCAACACCCATCATTTAAAAGTGGACATTTAATTTCTAAATACACGGAGCTTTTAAAAAATCTTTGATATTAATTTCTCATTTTGATATCCATTTCTCATTTAAATGCTTTCTTCTCTGCCATCAGCTTCTGTGTTTTTTCAGTCTTTTAACTTTCCTTAGGCTTTCGATGGCTAAGTCAAAGATCTCTCTTGGTAAATGTCACATTGCACTTGAAAATATGAGGGTTATTTTAAAATACCTTTTGATATTGATTTCTAACATAATGCCACAGTGATAAGAGAACAGACTCTGTATGATTTCAATACCTTTAGATGATGAAATTTTTGCACTTTATGTCCCTGGATATTTTCCTGTGTCTCTTGGTTTATAGTCTATAGGAACTTGAATAGAATTTGTATCCTGCTATTGTCTGAAAACTGTATAAATCTTAAGTATGTTGTATTGGTTCACAGTGCTTTTCAGGTCTACTGTATGCTTCTACTTTTCACTTTCATTCTATCAATGTTTGAGAGTTTGATATTGAAACTCTAACTAAAAATCTTAATTTATCTACTTAAAAAAATAATATATAGTGGAGCTATATGTAACTTTGTTCTGTATTTTCCAAGTCTCCTGTCAATGTTATCATACTTTCATAATTTAAAAATTAAAACAGAAAGATTTCCTAAGAAAAAAAATATATCATGTTTCAAAACAGGCAAAACCTACGTGTGCTGTTAGAAGTCTGGAGAGGGGCTCCCCCAGGGGCGTGGCTCCTGGATGGGGGCACGAGGAGGCTTCCAGGTGTTGAAATGTTGATCTGGATGCTGGTTAAGGGGTGTGTTCACTTTGAAAAATTCCAAATGCTGTACACTTGTGCACATTTTCCTTTATGGATGTTATACTTCAATAAAACATTTGTTAAGAAGGAACAAAAAACGGAAGTAGTCAGTTGGATGAGGACTTGGTAGTGATAGGGTGTTCCTGGCCATAGAACAACACAGACAAAGGTTTGGGTTTCTAAATCAGGCCCAGGTCCCACCCCAGTGGGGGGATGTTCCCATCCCAGGGGACCCACAGGATTAGACCTGAGACCTTGCACCCACGAATCACATTAGGGTGGTTCCTTCGTCACCCTAATTTGCCACCAGCGCCAAGCCCCATGGCCTCTCTAGGTTTTAGGAAATGGCCCTGGATGAAGATAAAGAGGTTTCTGTTTGAGAGGACCTGAAGTCAGGCTGTCCTTGAGCTCAGTTACAAACGAATCTAAGCAGCATTACAAAGGAAAAAAAAAAAAACAACCGACCACTACCAGCCCCAGCTATTCTTCCATGGAGATAAATGCCAATTAAAACAGGAAGCGGATGCCATTAACACATTAAATTAATTAGCATCGAGCGCCACTGTTGTGCTCTGAAAAGCTCACTCCCCAAACCAGCAAAGTTTCCCGTGGTTGATTAGCACAGGCATTTGCTGGGTTCCACGGGGGTTAATTAAGAACCACTGGCAAACTCTCTCTGAGGCGTCCTCATGAGCTCTCTCTCGCTCTCAGTCTCACTGGAGTTCACTCTCTGGGTCGTGCAGACATCAAGCACGCTGATAACATACACACTGCCTCCTGGGACATGGGGACAGGTGGACACCCCTATGGACACAGCAAACAGTCACATGTACCGGCAGGGTGCTCATGTGGACAAGCACACACACAGAGATATACAGGAGACACGTCATCATCACACACAGAGACATGTATGTGCTCAGACACCACGTGCTCACATGGGAAAAAACACCCTGGACATACCCCAAACACACTACTAATAATAACATTGCATTAAATGTTTATTGAGCATAGATTATAAACCGAACGCTATGTAATCCTCTCAATAACCCTATAAGGCAGATCTTATTTGTACGGATGAGGAAACTAGGCACAGTTAGATTAAGGATACAATAATTTGCCCAGAGGTCACAGACACACACACCCATACACAGTAACACACGTTCAGAGAGACTCATTCAAATACTTAAATAGAAAGATACAGACACACAGGTCTGTGTAACAGGGTGTCAGGTGAAATGAAAATTCTGTGGCCTCTTCAGGTTCATGGATGGAGACTGCAAATCACCCTGGGGCAGACCTGTTATTACGGAAGCAATCATGAATCACATGAGCTGGACCATAAAGAAGGCTGAATGCCAAAGAATTGATGCTTTTGAAATGTGGTGCTGGAGAAGACTCTCGAGAGTTCCTCGGACTGCAAGGAGATCAAACCAGTCAATCCTAAAGGAAATCAACCCTGAATACTCATTGGAAGGATTGAAGCTGAAGCTTCAATACTCTGGCCACCTGATGTGAAGAGCCAGCTCATTGGAAAAGTCCCCGATGCTGGGAAGGATTGAGGGCAGGAGGAGAAAGGGACGACAGAGGATGAGATGGTTGGATGGCATCACCGATTCTGTGGACATGAACCTGGGCAAACTCTGGGAGATGGTGAGGGACAGGGAAGTCTGGGGGGGCTGCAGTATATGGGGTCACAAAGAGTCAGACACAATTTGGTGACTGAACAGCAACAACAACATGGATCTCATTCCTTGATAAGCAGGAATATGGAAAGAAGAAGGACCAATTTACACAATGAAGTCAGGCTTTCTGGGAGAGGAACAATGAAGACTTATTACACGACAGAAGCGTAGGTTGGGGTGGTGCTGATTAAAATCCCTTGGCAGGAAATGTCCCCAGGACCTTAAAGGGGCACCAACCAAAGGAATGATAAAGATGCCCTAACTGGCTTAACAAAGGAATCTCAGGGTTGATGACCATAGCCTGATTCTTTGTAACACGTGGCTGGCTGGGAGACCTCCTCAGAATCACCCTATGAGTGTCCACCTCAGCTCTTGGTATGTGGCCCCACACATCCACCAAGCCGGTCAAAACCAGGGGGATCAACAGCGACACCTGGTGGCAGCCATCAAAACTGCACTGCTGCTCGACAGCCCAAATTCAACCTCCTACCCTGCTCCAGCTGGGCCTCTAGCATAAGAATGATCCTCTCTGAACTGACTAAACTCCAAAGGATATGGACTCAAGCTATACGAAGCTTGAGCTTGAAAAGTAAAAAGAGCTGTGGCTGTGTTTGACCCTCAGCAGGCGAAGCAAGTCATGACACTGATAATTATATTTAACTACACATTGACTTTTTGGTAATAAAGATGTTATGCCCACTGTATGCACAAAAAGACCCAGACCGTTCATGTGCACAATTTCATGAAGATGCACACAGTCCACCCACAAAATGTCACCCACATATTCAAAACCACAAACATGGCCTTTCCCAACTTTTCCCTCTGGCTCTGCCACCATCCTTACCCCACTGGGTCCCTGAGGAGAGCAGCAGGCCAGGCGGATGGAGCTGTTGACGGAGGCGAGTTGTTCCCGAAGACTTTCCACCTCCCGTTGGGCAGCCTCGGCTCGCTGGGGAGGGAAAGGGGGCAGGTATGATTAAGAGGTGAGGGGGGCCACACTGGATCCCAACCTGGCCCCCCTCTGCTCCCCGGCACTGTCTCAGACAGCAGCTGGAAGGCAGGTCTGAGGACCTGGGGTTCAACTTTCTGAGTCCTGGGCCCCTGAGTTGGCTCTGGTTTCCCCTGGTGTGTTTGGGACTCCAGGAGGAGCTAGAATGTTCCCACTCCACTAGGGCAGGAAGGGAGGTGCTGTCTTGATGAGTCTGGCAAGTTTTTGCATGTTCCCAGGCCACTTCTGTCTGCCAAGTACAATTCAGGCTTGGCTAGTCAAAAGGCCAGAGCTTCTCCCCAGCTCCTGTGCCGTGCACTGTCTGCAGAGGTTAGCTCCAAAGCCCACAAGCTGTTGCAGGTCCCTGGGCAGGTTAGTTCCCCTCTCTGGGTCTCAGTTTTCCGTTTGTGAAATGGAGGCCATGAAATACAACTATTGTAGAGGAGCATTGAAATATATTGAAAATCAGAATGCCACAGCTGACCAAACTGAATCTTAACTCTTCAAAAATTTATAAGAAAAAAGCCTGGAAGGAGGCTTTCAAAAGTTAACAATGTGGACTTGGGGCCTGGAAAGACATCTGTATTTTATCTCTTTCTGGTTGTGTGACCTTGGGTAAGAAATTTCATATCCCTGGGCTCAGTTTCCCTGTCTGCAAAATGGGGATGATATGCACAACTACTTCATAAGTCTGTTCTGCACATAAGTGATGTGGTAAAATACAATTCATTAAGTATCCCACCTTGATGCCTGACCCATACAAATATGTCAGTAACTGGATTCCTTTACTAACAACAACAGGGATGGAATCTTGAACTGTTATTAAAATGAAAAGAGCTGCAGCTGTGTTTTGACCCCCAGCTGGTGATGCAGGTCAAATGATTAAGTTTAACTTATACACTGATCGCAGCAATCAGTATGTTGTGCCCACTATATGTGCACAGAGACTCACACACATTTATGCACACGTTTTGTTGATTTATCTTTAAAATGATTTGTTTATTTATGGTATCCTGCCTTGTTTCAAAAATAGTTCGAGTTAGGAGTCAGCTTTGTTTGGGGAAAGGATTTGGGTGTGTGTGGGGTCGTAGAGAAAACATTTTTATGTTTCCACACAGTTAGGGCTTTCTGAGTAAGTGGGACTAAGACCTGAGGTCTGGGCTAAAAGACAAGCCTTGTAAATATCAACACATGACTGATCAGCTAGTTAGAACTCCAAAGATCCACCTCCTGGGCGATGCCTGTTGACATTTCAAGGGGGCACGAGATCCAGACCATGAAGACATCCTCTGGGTTGTAAAGATGAATTTAAAGTTACTAGTCTCATCGTCCCCTGGAGAGAAGTATTTACATTCCAAATGCTAGAAACCCAGGATCCTCGCCCTTCTGTTCATGAAGATACTTGAGAGCAGATTTCTCTCCCTTTCTCAGAAGGTTCCTCTCCTATACAACCACCCGGATTCATATTTGGGGGCATCCCTTGCCTACAGCACAAACCCTGGTACATGCAGGATATCTGGTTCTCGGCTCATCACCCCAGGGGAACAGCAGGGGGAAACTGGCATGGTTTTTACTATGCAAGTAATAATAACCTGCTCCAGAATCCTCTTGCTCATATTTAAGATAGTATTAATAAATATAGATATTAAAGACTAATACGGTGACACGTCCTTTTTTCTCAATACTTTATAATGAGCAGATTTTGTTTTATACTCAGAAAAAAGAAACATTATAAAAAATGCTTCCTATTCAGACTACTCTAAGATCTCTCTTCTTAAGCCTGTTTGGCAGAAATCCAAAAGTTTGATGCCACATGGTGCTGGCGAGGCTATGAGAAAACAGGCCCTCTCATCTTGCTGAAGGGGGTGTAACCCCCTGGTACAACCCATGGAAGCCAGTCTGGCCACATCTGCCAAATTATAAGCACCCGGCTCTTTCACCCAACAGTTCCACTTCTAGGAACTTGCCCTGTGTAGTGGCTTGGGTATGTATGAAACGATATCTGTACAAGGTTATTCCCTGCAGTATTAAGGATGATGGTTAAAATACTGGAAATACCACCAAAAGGGTATGAGTTAGATCAGAGGTCAGCAAAATGCAGCCTGCTGCCTGTTTATGTAAATAAAGCTTTATTGGAACACAGTCACGCCCATTCACTTCCATATTGTCTATGCTGTCACTCTACTGTGGCAAAGTTTTGAACAGTTTTGACAGCAACTTGCAAGGCTTAAAATATACTCTCAGGTCCTTTATGGACAGTTTGCCTTCCCCTGGGTTAGTTGATGACGGTAACGTTGACACAGCTGTGAAAATGAAGGACCTGCCTTACACACGGATCCGAAACGAGCTCTAAGATACATACACAGAAAAGGCAAGGTTCAGAAGGGTGCACTTGGTAACTACTGTTTCTGTTTAAAAAGGGGTAAGAATAGATATCATGGGCTTGTGGATGCCTCTCTGGGAGGAGACCCCGACACGGTAACGGAGGCTGCTGAGGGGAGGGGGACTGGGGGCAAGTTGAGGGAGGGGAGAAGGAGTTTCCCGACTATGCCCTTATGGAGCTTTTTCAGTTTTGAACTAAGTAAATGGATTACCTACTTAAAAAATGAACCTAAAAAATGTTATTCTTTCCCAACTTTCCTCTAGGAGGGAGCACCCGGTCCTTGGGCCCCCACAGCCCCACATCCGGGCCTTTGCCTCTGCTGTGCCCTCTTCCATTCCTCGGGAGGGCAGTGCCTGGGCTTTAGAACCCACCTCAAAAGGCCCTCCTAGGAGGCCTCCCTCCACCACCCCCAGGGAGATGACCGCAACAGATGCAACAGATGACCGCAACAGATGCAACAGATGACCCTGTTGCACTGCTGACCCCTCCCGGCCACGGCTCGGGCTGCTGGCGTCGCAGGGCACGGGGAAGAGGTGTGGTGGGCCTGCAGGACTCCAGACTGAACCCTCACGGCCGCGTCCTACCTCCTTTCAAAGTCCCGCCCAACTCTGCCCCACAGATGGCAACACATCTGAAGCCAGAGGGAGGCAGGATGCGGGAACCCCACTTATAAATGCGAAAACTGAGACTCAGAGAAGCTCAAGGACTTACAGGGACCCGGGCTGGGATGAGGATGCGGGAGCCCCAGGGAAGGTTGGGGTCCACCCAGCGCTCGGCTGGTGATCGGCTAGTGATCGAGTGCGGAGGCTGGCGGAGACCCCCAGGTGGGGACAGAGGGAGGGAAGCAGCCCTCGGCCTGTCCCTCATCACTGCCCCGGGCTCTGTGGAACGTAGCTCCTCACTCAGTCCGGTTGGGAGAGACCCATGTCCCAGCTTAGCCTGGGGGCGGGCCTGGACCCCTGGTCCCTGCTCTGCCTTTCTCTCACGGGGAAGGGCACTCATGCTCTGCAGGCTGCCTCTCGGCCTTTACCAGGGCCATCGTGTGCTTGGAATCCATCCCTCTGCAGGCTCCAGTTACTCATCAGGTCTCAGCTCAATGACCCTTTCCCTGGGACGTCTTCCCTGTCCTGGGTCTGGGTCAGGTGTCCCTTCCTCAACGACTGCTACCTGCATCACTCTATTTCTGAGCATTCTGTCTGTCCGGGAACTCAGGGGCCGGGTCCCTCTGACATCTCCTAGCCCCAGCGCTCAGCATGGCGTGTAGTTCAATGAATACTGACTGCGCTCAGCTCCCTCCCCTCCACCCAGCCAGAGATTCCCACCACCCTGGGTCAGTGAGCCCCGGCAAACATCTCCTCACCTGATTAGCTTTCTCCAGGTTGGTCATGATCAGGCCGACTTCATCTGCCCTGAGACAGAAAGATGAGGCCCTGAGGAAGGGATTCTGGCAGGCACCAGGGTCCCTGCCCTTCCTGAAACTCCCCAGCCCCTGCCAACCCAACGGTCTTGCGATGGAGGCTGTGAGGAGGCTGCCTTCCATCCTTCCTACTGAAGAGGTCAGGCTGCGGGGAAATGAAAATGGGGCCTTAGCACTGGGCCCCTTCTAGGCAGTCTGACCCCTCACCCCCAACTGGGGGTCCACCCTCTGATGCTGCCACCGAACTACACCTCCAGCCTTTAGTTCTGTTGAGGTCTTCCTCAAGAGGACAGGGCTTGAGCTTTATTTCTGTTTAAGACTTTTTTTTAAGACTTTTTTTGATGTGGACCGCTTTTATTTAAAGTCTTTGTTGAATTTGTTACAACGCTGCTTCTGTTTTATGTTGTTGTTTTTTGACTGTGGGCCATGTGGAATCTTAGCTCCCTGACCAGGGATTGAACCCACAACTCTGCACTGAGAGGTGAAGTCTTAACCGCTGGACCACCAGGGAAGTCCCCAAGTCCTGAACTGTAAGCCCAGCTGCAGTGTTCTCCTAGGAGGCCTCCCTCAACTCCCCTCATTTATTTCGCTGCCTCCCCACACCTCTGGGTTGGCAGGGCCTAGAGGATCAGGACAGGCCTTATCCACCTCGGTTGCCCCTCTGTCTAGTGAGGGGTAGGGGGTGGTCTGTGGGGAACATGTGGTGACTAAAAGTCACACTTGTGCTGCATGCATGTTCTGCTTCAAGGCCTTCTTTTGCACAAGCTGTTCCCACTGCCCAGAGTACCTTTCCCAGCTTTCTTCATGCGGCCATCACCTTCTCGTTTTTGAGGTCTCGCTCTGAAGGTCATCTCCTCCAGGAAGTCCTCCCTGACTACCCTGGATAACAGGACCCACCTCTCCCTGTCATTCTCTTGCTGCTCTCCTGGTTTTTCCCTTCATAGCATTTACTATGTGCCCCCAGCAGTGTCAGGCATACAGTAAGTGCTCAGCAGTGTCTGCGCATGGAAGAATTTATTCCTGTACCTCCGCTAGTGTCTGTCTCTTCTCCTTGACTGAGGACAGGATCATGGTCTGATGTTTCCTCCAAGGACTCATCATAGCAGTAGGTAAACAGTAGGTGCTAACTATTTGTGTTTGAGGATTAAGTGATGTCTTAGAGCCCGAAGAAACGTTGAGTCCAGAATAACTGAAGATGACACTTGGCCCTGGGGGTTGGATTGTGAAGTTGGGGAGTGGGGACAGCCCAGGAGGATGGGGCAAGAAGCCTCTGAGCAGTCGAGTGGGCTGAGCCGGCAACCCAGAATGTCCTTTAGAGTCTGTGGTGCGTGGACGGCCCCACGAGTGACTGGTGAACAGCTGTGGGCCTGTGCGAGTGTGGAACACAGGGTGCAAAACGAGTGCCTTCGGCAGAGTCAGAGGGAGGAGGGTCAGAGGGAGGAGGCACGTCTGGGAGGCTCAGAGGGAGGAGGCACCCCTCAGCAAGGCGCCCACTTACTTGGACGCCGCCTCCTCGTCGTACTTCCGCCGCAGTTCCAGCAGCTCTGTCTGCGTGGCCTTTAACGCTGAGAAAGATTAGAGCGCCAGGGTGAGGTCCTCCGCCCCCAGGGAGGGGGGACTCCCCCCGCTTCTGCAGAGCCCAGAAGGCAGAATGAGGCTTGGGGCAGTGAGCAAAGATTTTCCTCTCGGAACTGGCGACAGTGAGTGAGTTTCCTGCTCCTAGAAGGGCTTCAAGCAGGTGGGAGGGCTGTGGAGTGGCCGGGGTGGGGAGAGATGACATGATTCTCTGGGAGTCCATGAAGCTCTGGGGACCCAGGTAAGTGGAGGGGGTTGTCAGTGCCAGAACCCGGGGTATGAGCCCCTAACACGTTGAGGTCACTCCAGGACCTAGGTGGGGCCATCCTTCCATGAGCTTACCCACCCTGAGGTCTTGCCTGGAAGTGAGGGGGACAAGGACGAACAACAAAGTCAATAGGTACATGCATGATAAATAAGGATTTCTCACAGAACTCCAGATTTCTGATTTCTTGAGGAGAGCGGAAGGGACTGGCCGTACTGAGCAGCGCCTGGCTGAGACTCAGCAGCGGCCGCCTCTTTAGATGAGGCCTGGGTTCCCCAGTTTGACCCAGACCCCTCCCCTCTTCCCGACTGCACTCTCTGATCCAGCCGGCTTGGGTGCTTGTCCAGCCCCAGTGGGCACTGCATTTGCCGCCCCTGATTTAATTTTATCTCAAACCCTCTCTTCACAGTAGCATGACCCCTGGAATTGGAGCTCCAATCCCCATGGGGCAATGCAGGTCTTTCCTCTCCCTTCCCGAACGCCTTTCTTGCCCTCTGAGTCTTCTTAGAGTCATCGCCCGCTTCTCCTCCCACTGGACCTCCTGGACTGACTGGCCGGGGTGCTGTGTGGGCAGGGGACACGTGCCACATACATACCTGAATGTAGGACCTTGATCTTCTCCTCGGCTTCCCCCAGTCTGGCTGCCAAAGTGATCTGTACTTCTTGAAGGCCCCTGTGAAAACACCTGGCGTGGGGACCAGCCCTGCCTGGCTTCCTATACCCTCACCCACTCCCTGTAACCTGCACCTGGGTCTTTTTAATGAGTCCTGAGACAGGACACGCAGGCGCTTGGCTGCCCTGCTCTTTTGCTGACAGTGTGGCCTCCATTACAGCTGAGGCCCAGTTAAGCTTCCAGTGACTCTGCCTCTCTGGCCCTCAATTTCCTCATCTATAAAATGGGGTTTGTCGCAGAGAGAAGCCCAAGCACCACCATGAAGAGTAGCCCCCACTCGCTGCAACTAGAGAAAGCTGGTGCAAAGCAACGAACGTCTAACATGGCCAAAAATAAATAAATAATAATAAAAATGGGGTTTGTGATGGAGTCTGCCTCAGTGGGTATTATGAGGCATGTTCAGCGTGGTGCCCAGCCCCCAGAATTCCCCCAATACCACTGTTTACTATTATTGTCCCCTGGAGAGGTGATTTTTTTCACTTTCTGTGGCAGGAGTTTGGTAAGCCCTGCCAGCCCCCTGTGGCCTAACTCAGGTGTGAGGCAAGCAATTCATCAGAGAAAGAGGACCTCGCTCACTGCGCTGGGGGAGGGTTTATGCAAAGCCTGAGCCTTACCTTATTCTGGCTCAGTGACTCCAGGGAAGGAGCCTTGTTTACCCTGATCTTATCCTGCCCTCTCCCCTCCTTGCCATTCAAACACATCAGGCACGTTCCTGCCTCAGGACCTTTGCACTGACTGTTCCTTGCCCCATATGCCTGCAAGACTCCCTCAACTCCTTAGGGCTTTGCTCACTCTATTCTATAGGAAATCAACCCTGAATATTCATCAGAAGGACTGATGTTGAAGCTGAAGCTCCAATACTTTTGCCACCTGATGCGATAGCCGATTCATTGGCAAAGACCCTGATGCTGGGAAAGACTGTGGGCAGGAGGAGAAGGGGGCAACAGAGGGTGAGATGGTTGGATGGCACTGCCAAATCAATGAATGTGAATTTGAGCAAATTCTGCAAGATAGTGAAAGACAGAGAAGCCTGGTGTGTTGCAGTCCATAGGGTTGCAAAAAGTTGGACACGACTGAACAAGAACACCTTCCCAGTGAGACTTCCTCTAACACTCTGTTGAAAACTTCAGCCCGTCTCTTTTGCTCCCTGTTCTGTTTTATCTGTTGTCACAGTCTTTATCATCTAGTACACTACTCTTTTTTATTTGTGTCTTCCTTATAAGAAAGTAAACTCCAGGAAAGCAGAGAGTTTTGTCCATTTTGTTCACTGCTGTTCCCTAGAACAGTGCCTGGCACACAGTAGGTGGTTCCATAAATAAGTGGGATGAAAAAATGATCATCAAGAAACTGTCTTAGAAAGGCCTTAAGAATGCATATTTTATCAACACTGCACTAACTGTAAAGGCAAATATTTACTGACATGTGCCATGTGAGCACTGAGCTAAGCATGCAGAGGCACCATTTCATTTCATTCATTCTCAGGGCAGACTAGGAGTTGATATGGCCTGTGACAGTCAGTGTTATACATCTATTTGGCTGGGCTATAGTACCCAGTTATGCAAACACACACTGATACAAGTATTGCTATGAAGGGATTCTGTAGATGGGGTTAACATCTACAATCAGTTGATGTTAAGTAAAGGAAACTATTTGCAACAACAGGGTGGGCCTCATCTAATCAGTTGAAGGTCTTAATTTTTTTTTTTTTTTAATTAAAAAAATTTTGGCATGCTGCACAGCATGTGGGATCTTAGTTCCCCAACCAAGGATCAAACCTGTGCCAATGTGATGGACGCTCAGAGTCTTAACCACTGGACCACCAGGGAAATCCCCCTTTTAAAATTTTTTTAATTTTTTTGTTGTTGTTGCTGTCAACAGTCTTAAGAACAAAATTGAAGAAGAAATTTCATCTCAAGATGGCAGCCGGCACTGACTTCTGCCTGACAATTTCCAGCCTGCTGGCCAGCTCTACCAATTCAGACTTGCCAGCCTCAATCATGTGAGTTAGGTCCTGGAAATACAACTCTTAATTTAAAAAAAAAAAATCCTACTGGTTCTGTTTCTCTGGGGAACCATGACTAACATACCACCATTAGCCCCATTTTCCAGATGGGGACACTGCAGCTCAGTGAGGCGGTGTGACCGGCCCAGGGTGGGTCACTGAGCTGCTGACACGTGGTGTGAACGCAGGCCGGCATCTCCATCTTCAAACTGCATCTGGATTCCCCACGGGCCCTGGCAGGGGTGACTTTCCAGGCCCCCTCACCCAGACAGGTGGAGCAGCAGGGGCCCGCCCATCCTTCCCAACTCACTTTTGTTTCTCTGCCTCATTTCTCTGCAGCAAAGTTTCTGTCAGGAGGGCTTTGCTGGGAATGCCTGGGAGGCGGCTCGCCTCGGTCAGCGTGGGCCCGGCTGGTGACGTCCCCTCTCTCTGCTCTGAAGGAAGAAGAAGAGGGAAAACTGCCCATTGCCGAGAGCGGCGTGACGACCAGAGCCGCTTTCTGCAAACGAGATTGATCAGTGGTTCTGGGAGGAGAATCAATTTCCCAAACTCAGCATTGGAGACAGGGCAGCTGTCAGACCTGCTGTCACCATGACTGGCTGAGTTGCAGCCTTGGCGAACACCTGCATAAGAGAGTCAGACTCCCATCGTGTGGGCCCTGGGCAGCACACCCAGAGGTTCCTTTGCCCTCTCAGACCTGTCCCTGCCTCCTTGGCCTTCTATATGATTAAAAAAAATCATGGTAAAATACACATAAAATTCACCATTTTAACAATTTTAAAATACACAATTTAGTGATACGTAGTATAGTCAAAATACTGTGCAATCATTATCAGTAATTCCGGGACACTGTCATCACCCCAAAATGAAATTTGTCCCCATTAAGCAGACACTCCCCACTCCCTTCCCCGGCTGACAATTGTTCTGCTTTCTGTTGCTATGGATTTGTGTATTTTGGATATCTCCCATCGCTGGAATCATAACATATGTCCTTTTGGGACTTGATTCTTTCACTTAACATATCTTCGAGGTTCATTCAAGTTGGACCATGTGTCAGTGCTTCATTCCTTTTTTATGGCTGGATAATATTCCATTTTATGGATATATCATATTTTGTTTTTTTTTCCCATTCATCCACTGATGGGCATTTAGATGATTTCTATCATTTAGCTACTGTGAACAGTGCTGCTATAAACATTTGTGTACAAGTTTTGCCTGAGCACTTGTTTTCAGTTTTTTTAGGGTATATCCCTAGGAGTGGAATGGTGGGGTCACAGGGTCACTCCAGATTTAACCTACTGAGGACTTGCCATGCTGTTTTCCCTTCCCCATGATTGATGGCACACACTCAGATGTTCAGTCATTACCCCTCACCTGCAGGTCCATCTTTGCGAACGCCCATGGGGGCTCATTTGGAGACCAGTGTGTGCCTTTGGCGCTAAGTGCACAGAGAGGGAGATGCCCAGGGGCCAGCTAACCAGGGTGAGCAGCTCAAGAGTTCCAAAATTTGGTCTCCCAACCATGGGTCCACGTGACTCTAAAGTTAAATTCTGTCCTGGTTATAAAGTTTCTACTGTGAGCCTGGCACAGGAGGGTGAGTGTAGACCTGGGCGGTTTGTAGAGTGAGTCCCCTGAGACGCTGACAGAGTGGTCAGCTCATAAGACACACATAACACATGTGCACACATGGTCTGGGAATGTTTCAGATGCTGAGGCCACAGCAGTGAACAGAAAAGCAAGGTTTGACCATCATGATGCAGATAATAAGGGTCCTCAAGAAGAAACACAGCCCAGGGCCAAGGTCAAAAATTTTTGTTCTGATTCCCTACTTGGCTACCTGCTGCTTCTGTGACTCAAGTTTCCCCATCTGTAAAATGGGGCCAGTGACAACTCAGAAGATACCAGGAGACAGTGAGCTGCTGTGTGAAAAGCACACCGCACAGAGCAAATGCTCTCAAGAGGCAATTTCCACAACTACTATTAATATTATTCTTAGAGAAGGAAGTTCAAACCTCAGAGGAAGCAGTGACAGCTTTGCTGGGGGAACCTCAGAGGCTTCATAGAGGCATACATATGAGCAGGAGCTGAAGAACTGCCTGGGCTTGTCTGGGTAGTTGGAAGGGTATTCCAGGTGCAGGACCAGAGCTGGCAAAATGCTGTTATTTTAGTCACTGTTAAGTATTCCCCAGAAGACCCTGCTTAGGGCCAGGCTTACAGCAGGTGCTCACTATGCAATGTTGGGGAGAGGGGAGAAGAGAGGATGTTGAGAAATGGGGGAGTGTGAAAATGGTTGTTTCCTGAAAAGTTACTTTGTGTCATGCTTCCGTTTGACAGGCCTCAGCCCATTTTGTCTTCACTACATGCCAAATCTGGCTTGTTACCTGTTTTGTCAATAAAGTTTTACTAGAATAAAGCCATACCCCCAAATTAATATGATAATTCACATATTATCTATGGCTGCTTTCGCCCAGCGTTACGTAGTGATAAACTGCATGACCTGCAACATCAAAGATGATTACTTTCTAGCCCTTTTCAGAAAAAACTTACAGACCTGAGGTAAACCCTGTTCATTCATTCCTTAGACAAGAAGCCTTTAACCCGACTCTTCGCCAATTCTCTGCTTAATTTTTTTCCCAAAGACTTTTCACCAACTGACATACTTTATATTTTACTAATTTATTTGTTGACAATCTGTGTCTCCCTCTAGAAGGTCAACATGATGAGGGCGGAGATTTTTTTCTGTTTTATTCCTGGCTGGGTCCCTAGTGCCTACCACAGAGCCTGGCATGCAGGTCAATGAACATCCAAGACTGGGATGGTTACCAACGCTTTCACCTGTTATTTGCTCTCCCTATGGTGACTTTGTATCTTACACATTACCTTCCTGAGGTTATCACATGCTGAAATTTTGTTCATCGTTCTCTTGCTTTTAAACATTTTATCACAACATATGTACACCTAAAGACTATAATACTTGTCTCATTCGGAGCTGAGACAGTGTTGTGTTCCTACACCCTGTTTCCCTCTCCTCCTGGGCACAGACTACATTTCCCAGCCTCCTTTGCAGCAGTGTGGCCACGTGACTGAGTTTTGGCCAATGGGATGTGGCCAAGGCAATGCTGGCCACTCTCAGGACTGGACCCTACAAATCTCAGTGTGATCCTCCACATTATTTTCCTGCCTCTTGACCAGACGTCACACATGCACTGTGACTGTGGATGTTGAGTGTTGACGACCACCGCCTGGGTCCCTAAATGACTGTGGACCATCCCCTGAAAGTTCTCCTCCCTTCAAATGCATTAAGCCTCTGAAATTTGGGGTCGGCCTGTTTCAGTAAAAGTGTACCTTAACCCGTCCCACTTCTAAAATGATAAAAGTTGAGTTCCCTGCCCCTCTTCCCCCCACAGGGGTGGCAGAGTCTGGCTGCCAAAGATTCACAGCCCATTTGCTTATTACGGACATTCTGTGAGAGCCTTATCTGTGTACCTTTGGTGCCGACGAGCTCAGGGTGTCTCTTCCACGCAGCGTGGAGCTCTCGCCGCGGGGGCCCACTGGGGTCGAAGCTGGGGGGCTGCAGTCTGTCGTCTGGGCTGCGTGCCACCTCAAACACAGGCACAGGGTCTGCACAGAGAAAGGAGGACAGTGGTAGGGGAAGCTCTGCGGGTCAGGGAGCTTATGTGGGAGGAACCATCCATTGGAGCCATCTGAAATCTCTCTGCTGGCTTATGGGAGCATTGTGGACTTTCTGCTTTACGAGGGAGCAGAGTTTCTCCAGGCACCTGCTCTGAAGAAACTGTGCTGTTCCCATGGGTGTGGATGTCCTGCCCAGCTGGGAATAATAACAATAATTGTTATAATAACTGCATTCTGCTGATTCTAGATGCCATCTGTGGTGGCCATGAGATGGCGTCTTGCACACCTCCAACCAGAGGGAGTGTCACTTAGCAAGGACCCCAGCAGGCATGCTCTGAAATTCATCAGTCCAAGTGCTCCCTTCTCGGAATTTCCCAGACAAGGCAGTGGGGATGAGGGCAGACCTGCCTGGGGGATATGGAACTGCTCTGAGGACTGGCCCATGACCTCACCCAGGACTTCCTTCCTTAGGCTTTCACTCACTTCCCCACTTCTCCTCACTCTCTCCCTATTTTCCTTCACCCAAGGTTCCCTAATAACATCCTTGCACATATAATCCTTGCGGTGCTTTTCAACAGATCTGGGCCAACACACCATCTTTTGTGAACACTTATGGTTGATTAAATGATTTTTTTTTTCTGGGAACCAAATATAAACTTGGATATAAGATGTCTTCAAATGTCCCAACAGCAAAAAAATTGAGGACTGCAGGTCTTTCCACCCGGAATTCTGTCCCAATTGCTGTCAGCGAGCAAGCACTTCCTCTTCCTTCAGATCTAGAATCCAACCAACTCTTCTTCCAGCAGCTCTCCACTTGGGGCAGGTGGCTGGTGGAGCATCTTCCAGGTTACAAAGTCAGTCCTTGGGAACTGATTCCCATGATGCACCCAGCATCCCCTGGAGGCTGGCTTAGATCTAACTTGTTTTCACAGATGAGGAAACTAAGGTTCAGAGAAGCCAGGCGATTTGCTGAAGAGTGGAGGAGAGACTCAAGTCTGGGTCTCTTTCTCTAATGCCACAAAGACTTCCCGTCCCAGTGCTCTGGATATTTCAACCCCGGTAGCCACGTGTAGGAAGAGGCTTCCCTGGTGGCTCAGTGGTAAAGAACATGACTGCTAAGGCAGGAGACATGGGTTTAATCCCTGGGTTGAGAAAATCCCCTGGAGAAGGAAGTGGCAACCCACTCCAGTATTCTTGCCTGGAAAATCCCATGGACAGTGGAGACCATGGGGTCACAAAAGGGTCGGACACAGCTTACTGACTAAACAACAACAGCCACATGTAGGTGGGTGTTCATGGGGCCCCAAGAAAGCTAGGGCCTCCTAGCTTCAGGCCAAGGGGGCCGGTCTGTTCCACAATTTTTTCTAACACCCAAGAGCCCCCTCTCTTTCTGGTTCCTCCTCTGAGATCTCCCATGAGCATCTGATTGGCCACTACTCTCTGCTGGTGCGGACCCTGGAGTCAGACATCCCTGGTCCAAATCGAATCCATACTTGCTTTTCAGGATTGCTGTGTGACCTTGGCAAGTGGTGCGGCCTCTCTGTGCCTCACCACAAAAGTACCAACCTCATGAGCCTGTGATGAAGGTTCATGCAAAGTCCTCAAATGGTGCACAGCCCTTGGTCAGCTCAGAACACATGGACGCTCTTGCTATTTTCCCTGCCCTTCTGAGTGCCAACATACTGACCTTCTTCTCTGAGTCCCTCAAATGCACCTTCCCATCCCAGAGGCTTTGTACATCCAGGAGGCTTCTGCCAGGAACACCCTGCCCTCCTCTGTCCCTTTCAGCTAGTTGATGCGTACTCGTCTTAGCAATTCAAATGCCAGTTCTTCCAGGAAGCCTTCCCTGACCAGCTAGCTGGTTTTTCGGTATGCGCTCTTCCAGCTGTCTGCACCTTTCTTTCAAAGCAGTGGCTGTACTTCCAATTTTCAATGATTTACAAGTGCACCTAGAGAATACCCACTGGACTACAAACTCCACATGAGGCAGGGCTGGGACCGCATCTCCTTTTGCTCCACTGGACCCCTTGTGGGTGAATGACGCCTGACCCACAGTCCAACCCAATAAATATCTGCTGATGGAAGAAACAGGGTAGAGCCTATACTTGGGGGTCTTCAGGTCTGGCTGGAACAAGGCCACTGCTGCATTTTCTCTCTCTCCTCCCGCCTGTCTGTTGAGGTGGTGGGAGGCTCGGACAATGGGCGTTTTGTGTCGAGGTAAGCAGGTGCAGGGGAACGCCGCTGCGTCTTTCCTCTGTCAGCACCCCCCCACACGCCCCGTCATTAGGCAGGGCCTGCTCAGCAGGGTATGCCATTATGTCTCCCCGGGCTGATGTAATTATACATTGACATAATTAACCCAGCAAGCGCATTAGGCAGGCCAGCTAAAAATTCATCTATAATTATTTGTTGTGTGCATGCTAATGAGTCCATCTGCACTGCCTTTGTACAACACGGACAAATTAATTTACAAGTCTGGATTTTTTAATAAGTTCAAGGAAACGCTTCCTATTGTGTCCTGGTTTTTGAGAAAAGAAGAAACAGGCGACAAGCGCTTGCCAGGGTCAGGGAGGTTAGATAAACACGGAGGCCGCAGCTCGGGAGCGGGCATGGAGGGCTCGCTCTGGTTCCAGGAGGTGGAACAGATCCAGCTCATGGCTCAGGGGCTGGCTGGCCAGGAGCCTGTCCAAGCCAAAAGACACCGCTCGGGTGAGAAGGGATGTCATTTACCTCATTCCCAGGGATCAGAAATGGAGGTCTGTTCTGCTCGGAGGCCCTGTGGTCATTCTTTGTTGCCTGATACTCTCTGTTCAGGAGAAGCTGACCTCAGGTGACCTCTGGAGAGGCTAGAGGAGTGGGGAGGGGGCAGTGACACTCTACGGGGTCAGCGGGTTCCCGGGCTCTGCTCTTTGCCTTCATTTGCCCATACAGGGTAGAAAAAAAAGTGTAAGTGAAAGTTAATCGCTCAGTTGTGTCTGACTCTTTGTGACCCCATGGACTGTAGCCAGCCAGGTTCCTCTGTCCATGGGATTCTCCGGGCAAGAATACAGGGTAGAACATAGTGATGACACTCTCAGAACCTGAAGTCCAGCACTGGTCGTGAGCCTCAGTTTTCCCACTAAAAAGTGGGAAAATGAAACAGTTTCTGCTTCTCAGAAGTTACTATTGGGAAGACTGAAAATGATTATTGAGAGAGGCAGCATGATTTAAGGACTGCTGGTGTCAGCTCCAGCTCCAAACTGGCCATGTGACCTTTGGACTGCTGGGTAACCTCTCTAAGCCTCTATTTTCTGATCTGTAAGATGGGACTGCAAGGACTGGATGAGAGGATGAGATTTGCACAGTGCTGGGTGGAGAGGAGGGCCAGACACAGAGCTGGCTGCTGTTATTACCCTGAGAGGGCAGCACACCTGACCCCACAGTGTTCTAGCAGCGGCGGTCCGTGGCAAAACGCCATGGAGACTCAGGACACGGTGAAGCCTCATATACGTCAGCGTCTGGGGCACTCGGTCCAATAGTCCTGCTTTGAACTCCACTCAGGGACTGAATGGCTCCAGCTTAGAAGGTCACCCAAGGAGGGACGATCTGGCCATTGTCCAACTCCCCCCCGCCCCCCGACCCCAGAGCAGAGTGGGGAAAAGTAGAGTCCCGTGACTACCCTGAAGTCTGAAAGTGAGGGTGTGCTAGGGCCAAGATGGGCCTCTGGGCCTCTTCTCCCCACACTGTGCTTCCTCCTGGATCCCCCGTTGGAGAGAGAAAGTGAGGGGAGGTTCAGATGAGGGCCAAAGTCAGGCAGTGGATGAATCCTAACAGCCAGACCACTTTACATGGATTAGAATTCATTCCTTCTTCACCACAACACTGTTAGGTGGGGCTCTTGTGTTCCTAGTCCACAGATGGGGAAACAGAGGCATGGCGGGGGGCCGGGGGGGTGGGCGTGTGGAAATCACTTCCCCAAGGTGAGGCCCGAAAAAGGTAGCTGCTGCTACTTCCATTTTTTAAGACAAGGAAATGAAGGCCCGGAAAGGAGATTCTATGTGCCCAAGAACGTTAGCTCAGAAGTGGCAGGGGTAGAGTCTGAACCAGAGAGCCTGATGACTCTCGGCAGTGGACCAAGCTGCCCTGAGGTACGGCCTGGCGGATCATCAGGCCAGAAGCACGACACTGGGGGCTCTGTTCCTGGCCTTGCCGCCGGCTGGCTGGGTGACCTGGACAAAGCATCCGAGTTCTCTGAGCTCCACCTTCAAGTTTGTCTGATGAGCCGACCCCAGGCATACGCTCAGTTAGCACCGGATGTCACCAGATAGGCAAGGTCCTGCCAAGTGAGTGCTTTTGGCCCTGGGCCTATTCCATGGAGCTGGGATGCTAAGGGAGGGTGATTAATAAATGGCTTCCCAGCTGAACTTGACACTCGAGGTTTGGATGTTGTGAATCCTCCGAATTCCCACAGCATGTCACAGATAAAAGAGGGAGGGGGGCAGGCTGGGAGGCTGGCTGTCAAATCCTGGCTGTGACAGCCTCAAGGAAAGTCACATAGGTCCACTGAGCCTCAGTTTCGCCATCAGTATAACGGGAATAACAACGGGATCTACCGCAGAGGGCGGTGCAGGGATGCATGAGCACGCTGAGCTTCTGGGACAGTGCCTGACCCCTAACAGGCTCTAAGTGAGTGTTGACCTAATTCTTATGCCTTGTGGCAGTGTGGGATCAGAGCCAAGCATCAGCCTGCTCTGATGCAGAAGGCATCTGCAAGCCAGGAAAAGAGCTCTCACCAGAAACCAGCCCTGCTGGCACCTTGATCTTAAGACTTGCAGCCTCTAGAACATTGAGTAATAAAAACCTTGTTTAAGTCACCTGGTTTGTGGTGTTTTCTTATAGCAGCCTGAGCAGACTGGTGTATCCTGCTTTGGGGCTCCCGTTAGCTTGGCTATAGACTGTTTTGAGATCCGCACTGCGGTGTGAGATTCCTCCCACCAACCCTCCTTTCT